CGAGACTGTGCCACTGCACTGCACTCTTGCCTGGTGACAGAGCTAGACTCCCTTTGAAACAAACAAACAAACAAAAAAGAAACGAGAATAAGGGAAAATGCCACCAATGTTTGTTTTATGGTTAAAATTATTTTTATAATTCATCAATAAAGATGTCCTTCTGGTTAGCACTAATTCAAGATAAATATACAGTGTTAAATGTACACATACAGGACATCTTCTTGCTGTAATTCAAAACAAATGTTTGTTTTCAATTTTTTGCAGAGATGAAGTCTTGCTGTGTTGAGGAGGCTGGTCTCAAACTCCTGGCCTCAAACAATCCTCCCTTCTTGATCTTCCAAAGTGCTAAAAGCCTCAGCACTGTCCCCAGTGCAAATGTTTTAGAAAATGTTTGTACAAACCGGGCATGGTGGCTCACACCTGTAATGCCAGTACTTTGAAAGGCCCAGGCAGGTGAATCACAAAGGTCAGGAGACCAGCACGCCAAAATGGTGAAACCACATCTCTACTAAAAATACAAAAAGTAGCTGGGTGTAGTGGCAGGCACCTGTAATCCCAGCTACTTGGGAGGCTGAGGCAGGAGAATCGCTTGAACCTGGGAGGCAGAGGTTGCAGTGAGACAAGATTGTGCTACTGCACTCCAACCTGGGCAACAGAGCAAGACCTATCTCAAAAAGGAAAAGAAAAGAAAATGTTTGTAGGTTAACTTTTGAAAGTTTTAAAACATTTTTTTTTTTAGACAGAGTCTCGATGTCACTTAGGCAGGAGTGCGGTGGCATGATCTTGGCATGCACCACCACACCCGGCTAATTTTCTATTTTTAGTAGAGACGGGGCTTCTCCGTCTTGGTGGTCAGGCTGGTCTCAAATAGCCAACCCTAGGTGATTTGCCCACCTTGGCCTCCCAAAGTGCTGGGATTACAGTCATAAGCCACTGCACCTGGCTTTTTTTTTTTTTTTTTTTTGAGAAAGAGTTTCAGTCTTGTCCCCCAGGCTAGAGTGCGATGGCATGATTTTAGCTCACTGCAACCTTTGCCTCCAGTGTTCAAATGATACTCCTGCCTCAGCCTCCTGAGTAGCTGGGATTACAGGCGCCTGCTACCACAACTGGTTAATGTCTGTATTTTAAGTAGAGATGCGGTTTCATCATGGTGGCCATTCTGGTCTCGAACTCCTGACCTGAGGTGATTGGGCTACCCAGGCCTCCCAAAACGCTGAGATTACAGGCGTGAGTCATTGCACTCAGCTGAGTAAGGAAGTTCTAATATAAAGGATGACAGTTATGTTCATACTGCCAGAAAACGGTTGGAAATAAAAAAGCATCAGTGAAGAGTAAGAAGGTATATAAACTTAGTTTCCGGTCTACAACTGTCCAGTAAATATTCCTCATGGAAATCACCATGCCTGGCAATACTTAATCTGTTCGTTAATTCATGGACACACCGGTAAAGAGTGAAGGTGCATTTAAATCTCGATTAAATTTTGGAAATCATGGTAGGAAACACGAAAATACTAACCAATAAGCATGAGTACAAGTATCTGCAGATGAATTATACTGATCTAACCAGTGCATCAGGGCATCATCTGAGACAACCTGTAAAAATGAGAGAAATTTCATTGAAAACAGCATTGCTTTAAATAAAATGCTTACTAATCTGGTAATTCTAGAGGCAGCCAATTTAAAATAATCTCTACCCAAAAAAACTTAACCCTCGCTATTAGCTGAATCTGAATGCCATTTGAAAAGTTCTATCATGCTGGTTTCTCTTATGTAATAAAGTTCTCAAATAACTAAATTAACTATAATTGTTTTCAAATGAGAATGGCTAGGTATAGTAACATAAGGTAATATTAATAAAATTAAACGAAATAGTAAATGTTAGGAAAAATAGTCACTCACTGTTTTCTATAAATCACTGCAAAATATAAACACAGAGGCATCCTCACAATAAAACTAAGGTAGTGAAAAGGACTTTTATTTTTATTTTTATTTTTTGAGACAGAGTCTTGCTCTGTCGTCCAGGCTGGAGTGCAATGGATGAGAATCACCTAAACTGGGGAGGTGGTTACAGTGAGCCAAGATCAAGCCACTGCACTCCAGCCTGGGAAAGAGCAGGAGACATCTTAAAAGTTGAAGGCTGATAACATTAAGACTGTGGTATTAGTATAACAAAAGTTGACATTTTCCTTAAACCAGGCTGGTTGTAGTGGCTGACACCTGTAATTCCAGCACTTTGAAAGGCCGGGGTGAAATGATTGCCTCAGCCCAGGAGTTCCAGACCAATGCAGCCTCTGCAACATAGGAGACCTCATTAAAAAACAGTAACCAAATAAGAAAAAAGTAATTTCATGTCCAGAGCAACTATCTTAAACAGCTTGAACATATTATTATAAAATAAGTATCTTTTTTCTTTTTTTTTTGAGATGGTATCTTACTCTGTCGCCCTAGCTGGAGTGCAGTGGTGCAATCTTGGCTTACTGCAACCCAGCTTCCCAGGTTAAAGTGATTCTCCTGCCTTAGCTTCCTAAGCAGCTGAGATTACAGGCGTGTACCACCACACTTGGCTATTTTTTGTATTTTTAGTAGAGACGAGGTTTCGCCATTTTGGCCAGGCTGGTCTCAAACTCCTGACCTCAGGTGATCCACCTGCCTTGGCCTCCCAAAGTGCTGGGATTATAGGTGTGAGCCACTGTGCCCAGACAAAATAAGTATTCTTATATAACATAATGTACAAATTAGAAAATACCTTCTTGTATTTCTTTTTTAGATCAGCATAAATTTCTAATTTGAGCTGTTTCCCAGTATTTGGTCGATAAACTAAGAAAAGTTTCTTTTTAGGGTTCACTTCTTTAACTAAGATAGCAGTTTTCTTGTTGTTTCTTATCTGTTTTAAAAAAATGACAAAATAGAAACACTTTCAATACACACTTTAAGACATGTTTTCATACCATCACATCAGCAAATATAATCATTTGAGACTGTAACACTAAGTACATGGATAAGTAACTTCAAGAAAGAATGGAAACTACTTGTTTCAAAGACTTTAACAAAGCTACATCCAAAGGGCAGTTACTGGACCTTAATTCTGGCTAAAGATGAAGGTTAAAGGCCAATGTTATCTTCAGATAACTATTTGAAATTAGCTTCTTCTGTTTCCTGTACCTAGAATCCCAGTCAGGCAGCCTCAGAGAGATAAGATAAACCAAGCATAATAAAATGGTAACAGTAGAATCTGGGTAGTCTTCATAGAAAATTATTTCACCTCTGCTGTATGTATTTAACATTTCTCAGTAAAATGAAAAAAAAGTTACTGTCCTTTCAATAGAATTAACATCCCTCCAAGAGAATGCCTTGGATGGCCCCAGTCCTCTGCACGGGTCTATTCCATCAGTACTGTCTTTATTATTATTATTTTTTGAGACGGAGTTTCGCTCTTGTTACCCAGGCTGGAGTGCAATGGCGCGATCTCGGCTCACAGCAACCTCTGCCTCCTGGGTTCAGGCAATTCTCCTGCCTCAGCCTCCTGAGTAGTTGGGATTACAGGCACACGCCACCATGCCCAGCTAATTTTTTGTATTTTTAGTAGAGACGGGGTTTCACCATGTTGACCAGGATAATCTCGATCTCTTGACCTCGTGATCCACCCGCCTCAGCCTCCCAAAGTGCTACAAGCTTGAGCCACCGTGCCTGGCTGTTATTATTTTTTAAATACGGGATTTCACCATGTTGTTTGGGCTGGTCTTGAACTCCTGACCTAAGGTGATCCGCCCGCCTTGACCTCCAAAATGCTTGGATTACAGGCCACCACGCCTGGCCTAGTACTGTCTTTCCCTACCTCACAGGGTGTTGAAGGGCAAAGTGAGAGATCACATGATAAAGTGGTCTGTAAACAGCAAAGCTATGTGTGACAGCAAAAAGCTAAAATGTTGAAAAAATTATCCACACATATGGAGGTAAAAATGGAAGAAAGGGAAGCATTAGACAAATGCTGGATTCAGGTATATATTTTTAACTTTTTTTGTTGTTTTTGAGACGGAGGTTCGCTCTTGTTACCCAGACTGGAGTGCAATGCCGGATCTCAGCTCACCGCAACCTCTGTCTCCTGGGTTCAGGTAATTCTCCTGCCTCAGCCTCTTGAGTAGCTGGGATTACAGGCACGTGCCACCATGCCCAGCTAATTTTTTGTATTTTTAGTAGAGACGGGGTTTCACCATGTTGACCAGGATGGTCTCAATCTCTTGACGTCGTGATCCACCCATCTCCGCCTCCCAAAGTGCTGGGATTACAGGCGTGAGCCACCGTGCCCAGCCTATATTTTTAACTTTTTAGTGTTGGATTTATAAGAGAAACTTTAAGAGGAAGGAGTTACTCTTAAAACTCCATTTAACACAAGGGAAAATAACTGGAAAGTTCCTTTCTTCTTTAATGAAGACTGATCAGCTTCTAAACAATCATTTCTGGAGCTAAACTGAAGGAAAAAAGTTTCAAAGTAAAAGGAGTTTCCTGCCCTCTACACAATATATCATTGTTTGCAGGACTATTAACTTTTTATATTAATTCTCATAATAAAAAACACATTTTATTTTCTGCTGCGTGGATGTTAAAGACCCTTGGTCTTTTACTTGTTCCAACGATTTGAAACTTTATATATATATAGACAGACAGGGTTACCCAGGCTGGTGGAGAGCAGTGGCACAATCTCGGCTCACTGTAACCTCCCCCAGCTGCAACCTTCCCCTCCCGGGTTCAAGCAATTCTCATGCCTCAGCCTTCCAAGTAGCTGGAACTATAGGCTCGTACCACCATGCCCAGCTAATTTTTTGTATTTTTAGAAGAAATGGGGTTTCACCGTGTTAGCCAGGATGGTCTCCATCTCCTGACCCACCTCAGCCTCCCAAAGTGCAGGGATTACAGGCGTGAGCCACTGCATTTGAGAAACATTGTTTATGTAATTACTGTAAAGTCATAAAACAATGGGTAAGGTGAAGATTACATTTTTGGCCAGGTGTGGTGGCTCATGCCTATAATCCAAACACTTTGGAAGGCTGAAGCAGGTGGATCATGAAGTCAAGAGATCGAGACCATCCTGGCAAACACGGTAAAACCCCTATCTACCAAAAATACAAAAATTAGCCAGGCATGGTAGCACGCGCCTGTTGACCCTGCTACTTGGGAAGCTGAGGCACGAGAATCGCTTGAACCCAGGAGTCGGAGGTTACAGTGAGCCAATATCACGCCACCGCACTCCAGCCTGGTGACAGAGCGAGACTCCGTCTCAAAAAAAAAATTGTTTATCAGCTGATGGGAAATATCCAAACTTAGAGGATAGCGTTTAAGACATTTAACAATGGGCTCTGTCTTGACAGTGTCAGGTTAATTATAAATCATCACAGAAGAGTAGAAAGTGATTCTGCATTGTCTTCCTAAAGTTAGTACAGGTTACACACTGAAAAGTATTGCTGTTTAATGCAATGGAGGCTCAAAGGCAAACAAAGACCAGGAATGAACTCTCTAGGGTCACCACTCCTCATGCCCAGCCGCCTGCTGCCATACAGAGAATGAAGGACCAGCATTACCACATCCTTCAACGTAAGGGAAGCTGGGGATCAGGACTTTCATCACAATCTACCAACACTAATATTCTGGCAATAATTTCAAATTAAAAATCATAACCAAGAGCCAGGTGTGGTCGTACATGCTGGTAATCCCAGCTATTCAGGTGGTCGAGGTGAGAGGTGCATCAAGCCCAGGAGGAGCTTGAGATTGTCTTGAAAACAGTAACAAAACCCTATGTGGACCAATCAAAATTGCATCTATGGGGGACAGCTGAGTAAAATATGTGAATTCTACCAATGTCAACATCTTGGTTGTGATATTACGCTACAGTTTTGCAAAATATTTATCAGTACGGTTTCTTATATGACATGCAAATGAACCTACAGTTCAATCAGTATTTCAAAAACTCCAAAGCCAGCCAGGTGCAGTGGCTTACACCTGTAATTAATCCACCACTTTGGGAGGTCGAGGTAGGAGGATCATTTGAGCCTAGGAGTTTGAGGTCAGCCTGAACAACACAGAGATTAAAAAAAAAAAAAACAAAAAACAAAACAACTATCCAAGTGTGGTGGAGTGTACCTGTCATCCTGAAGCTGAGGTGGGAATTGTCTGAGCCCAGGAGGTTGAGGCTGCAGTGAGCCGTGATCATGCATGCCTCTGCACTGCAGCCTGGGTGACAGTGCAAGATCCCATTACAAAAAACAAAACAAAACCAAAAAAAACCCCAACTCAACTAGGAGCCAGATCCTTTGAGAGCTTTTCTCTGGATCAAGGATCAGCAGCTTAGACCTGTGGAATCAATCTAGCCTGGGGCTCCTAAACTAAAGTACAGTTTAAGGAAGGAAGGAAGGTGGTTAAAAAAAAAAAAAAGGAAGGAAGGAAAACACAGAGGTGGACCACATATGGCCTACAAAACCATACATATCTGGCCTTCACAGAACAGGTTTAGAGACTCCTGACTCCAGTCATTCATGACTTCATCCTGTCTGTGGCATCACCATACATGTAGTTACTTCACATGAGCAAGAACCAGGAACCTTATTTTTAGTCAGTCATTCCATATATATTTGTAAATAGAAAGCAAAATATATTATATACAACCAGTGAAATATTACTCAGCCTTGTAAAACAGAAACAAAGGGGCCAGGCACAGTGTGATTCACATCTTTAATCCCAGTACTTTGGGAGGCTGAGGTGGGAGGATCTCTTGAGGCCAAGAGTTTCAAACCAGCCTGGTCAAAATAGTGAGACCCCATCTCTACAAAAGAAAAATTAAAAAATTAGCCCCTAGGCATGGTGGTGCACACCTTTAGTCCCAGTTACTAAAGAAGTTGAAGCAGGAGGAACATTTGAGCCCAACAGGCTGAGTGAGGGACAGAAAAAAGAAATGAATAAAATAGACACAAAAAAAGAAATGAATAAAATAGTTCAACTGATTGAGGCCACTGCTTGAGACAACATGATTAGAGAGAGATTAACCTAAGGACTAGGGAGTGAGTGATGAGCACTAAATGTAATTACCTGTAGAAGTGAGACTAAATGAAGGTCAAAGGCAGAACACATTACATCATTGCTCTATGCTCTGACAATGCAGAAACAGAACAATTAAGATGGGAGAAGCATATACAAAAACAAAAGTTTTGGCCAGGTGCACCAGCTCACACCTGTAATCTCAGCACTTTGGGAGGCCGAAGGCAGGCGGATCACGAGGTCGAGATCGAGACCATCCTGGCCAACATGGTGAAATCCCATCTCTTCTAAAAACACAAAAAATATTAGTGGGGTGTGGTGGTGCATACCTGCAGTCCCAGCTACTCAGGGGGCTGAGGCAAAATTGTTTGAAACCAGAAAACAGAAGTTGTAGTGAGCCAGGATCGGGCCACTGCACTCCAGCCTGCTGATAGAGCGAGACTCCATCTCAAAACAAACAAACAAAAAAACAAATTTTTTTTACCCCCCCCCCTTTTTTTTAGACGGAGTTTTGCTTGTTACCCAGGCTGGAGTGCAATGGTGCGATGTCAGCTCACCGTAACCTCCGCCTCCTGGGTTCAAGCAATTCTCCTGCCTCAGCCTCCTGAGTAGCTGGGCCTACAGGTGCGCGCCATCATGCCCAGCTAATTTTTGTATTTTTCATAGACACAGGGTTTCACCATGTTGACCAGGATGGTCTTGATCTCTTGACCTTGTGATCCACCCGCCTCTGCCTCCCCAAGTGCTGGGATTATAGGCGTGAGCCACCGCGCCCAGCCCTTTTAAACACATTATTTTCATGAATACTGAAATCTAGTATAACATTTTATCAACCTGTGTGCCCTGGAGAACAAGGATTCTTGTATAAGAAAAAAGACTTGGCTGGGCACTGTGGCTCACGCCCGTAATCCCAACACTTTGCAGGCTGAGGTAGGCAGATCACCTGAGGTCAGGAGTTCGAGACCAGCCTGGCAAAGAAATCCTGTGTACTAGAAACACAAAAAATTAGCTGGGTGTGGTGGCAGGCAGTTGTAGTCCCAGCTACTCTGGAGACTGAGGCAGGAGCATCACCTGAACCTGGGAGGTGGAGGTTGCAGAGAGTCGAGATCCCGCCACTGCACTTCAGCCTGGTCAAAAGAGTAAGACTCTGTCAAAAACAAAACAAAACAAACAAACAGAAAAAACACCACCACCAAATATCTTAGAGAACTGGTGAAATAAAAATTCTGTAGTCTTGGATTTGAATACGGTAAATCAATATAAAACTGAAGATACTGTTCCATATGTAAATGTGTGTGTGTGTGTGTATATACATATATGTGTACACAAATATGTACAGATATGGGTGTGCACACACACCCCTAAGTTCTGTCCAGAGACATATATCATAACCAAAAGACTTAGCTGTTTTATTAACTGAAAAATGAGTCTTCAAGATATAAAGTATTATTAAGACTAAAGCAAGTCTCTTGTCTTACGAAAAAAGGCTTAATTTAAGATAATGTTAACAATTCAGCCGGGTGCAATGGCTCATGCCTGTAATCCCAGCACTTCGGGAGGCCGAGGCAGGTGAATCATTTGAGGTCAGGAGTTCAAGATCAGCCTGGCCAACATGGTGAAAGCCAGTCTCTACTAAAAGTACAAAAAAAAAAAAAAGCTGGGCTGGTGGCAGGCACCTGCAATCTCAGCTACTGAGGACTGCTTGATCCAGGGAGGTCGAGGTTGCAGTGAGCTGAGATTGCGCCACTGCACTCTAGTCTGGGTGAAAAGAATGGAATTCTGAAACAAGAAAAAAAAAATTTAACATTTCTAAAGTTGCATCTAGTAACATCCTTTAAAATGCATTAAGTGAAAATGTAATACAAATGGACAAACCCACCATTACAATGATAAATTACCAAAACAGAGAAAGCTAAACACAACAGGAAACAGGCACAAAGTGAAGAGACAATTACAATGCTGGCCATTAAGAAGCATTATGTATCTGAGTAGCTAGCATGTAAAGGAAAAGTCGTACTTGCAATGACAAGTAAAAGCCATCGTCTGGTCCTGTCAGTTCGGCCCAAATCTTAGTAGCTTCTTCCCATGACATTCCCCTCTCTACACTAATCTGTAAAGGAAATAACAAAATTTAAACTCGTTTCTGTAAATGCCTCTTGTGGGAAGACAGCACTTCCACATGTACATTTTCTAAACTTACTGTGTATAATTCTACATGGCCCGAGGTTGAATATCCTGGAGTCAGAAACTTTTTAACATCACTTTTCCTCACCTTTTCATCTCCAGAACCAAGATCTTGAACAAGAAAAAGAAACATACAAATGTAGTAAAAAGAACATTTTTATCAAGTACACACATGTTTAAACAATTTCTCTATTCCACATGTTCCCTGGGGATGTTGAGGCGAAATGTTCCTTACTTACCTAAGATTCCCATATCGTATCTTCCATTTTTTTTGGCATTTTGGACAACTGCAGTAAGCGTGTCCGCAAAATACTGAAACAATGAATTCTGCTGATGTACCTCCATGCCTAAAATTCTATTTAAGAATTTTCCTATGTTGTTATAATCTGTAATGACAAAAGATGAATGATTTCATGCATTCAAATGAATAATTTAAAATTTTTTATTCATCTAGGCTTAGTTCAAGTCCCATTTTCTCTTCTAAAAGTCTTTCTTGCATTTTCCTCACAATAAGGCTATAATCTGCCCATTTCTCTCTCTAGCAATTAGCACCACTGCAGTACATGCTCAAAAGGTTTGTCAAATTGAATTTTTGCATCTTCAGCTTTATTTATGAAAAGTATGGGGCCGGGTGTGGTGGCTCACGCCTGTAAATCCAAGCACTTTGGAGGATAAGGCAGGCGAATCACCTGAGGTCAGGAGTTCAAGACCAGCTTGACCAACACAGTGAAATCCCGTCTTTAAAAAATAAATAAATAAAAATAAAAATAAAGCAAAGTATGGACACAATTTGGTATATAAGAAAGTTGGGGTCAGGCACAACAGCTCATCCCTATAATCCCAGCACTTTGGGAGGCTGTGGGGGACAGATCACCTGAGGTAGAGAGTTCAAGACCAGACTGATGAACACTGAGAAATCCTGTCTCTACTAAAAATACAAAATTAATTGGGAGTGGTGGTGTATGCCTGTAATCCCAGCTACTTGGGAGGCTGAGGCAGGAAAATCACTTGAACCCGGGAGGTGGAGGTTGCGGTGAGCTGAGATCTCACCATTGTACTCCAGCCTGGGCAACAAGAGTGAAACTCCACCTCAAAAATAGAAAAGAAAAGTTGGTTCTCTAATACCAAATTCTCAATTGTAGCTGCACAATTAGTTTGGAGCTTTGCCACCAGTGTCTGAGTTCCATCCCTGACTTCAGTAAATATTTTTTTTAAGGCACAGTCTCCCTCTTGTTGCCCAGGATGGAGTACAACGGCACGATCTCGGCTTACTCCAATTTACGCTTTCCCAGGTTCAAGCAATTCTCTGCCTCAGACTCCTGAGTAGCTGGAATTACAGGCACCTATCACCATGCCTGGCTAATTTTCTTTGGTATTTTCAGTAGAGATGGGTTTCACCATGTTGCCAGGCTGGTCTCAAACTCTTGACGTCATGATCCACCTGCCTCGGCCTCCCAAACTGCTGGGATTACAGGCGTGGGCCACCATGCTCAGTCCTCTTCAGTAATTTTTAAAAGCTTGAGAACTCATCATATTAGCAGCCAGTGTTGAAAACCGCTGCTCTATTTATGGATCTCTTATGAATACCCTACAATAGCCAAAATCACCCAGAATGTTTCAGAAACATGAAGCATACCCTTCAGCTGAAAAGCGTATGTCATAATGAACTTTAGTACTATAGCAACAGTTACATGCCTACACAAAGTTAATAGTAGTACCTTTATCGAGAGTAAGAATTCCCGAGCGATCTTCTACATTTATCAGACCAACTCCTATCAGTCCTTGTCGAACATCTGTAAGAACAGGATCAATTTTGACTCACAAATGACAAGGAATGTCTGCAATGTATCGTTAAGTGAGAAAAGTATGTTGTAAGTAATATTATGCCATTAAAAAAAAAAAACAACCAACCCCTGGTGTTTTAGATAAACATTGAGAAAATGTGGAGAGGACTGCCCCTGTTCACACTGTCATCTGTGACCTAGGAAAGTGAGGGTGGAAGAAGGATTGTGGGGACCATATTATTAACTCTCTTCATTATCTACTTTTAGATTCTTTTTTCCTTTTTTGAGACAGAGTCTTGCTCTGTCACCCAGGCTGGAGTGCAGTGGTGAGATCTCAGCTCAATGCAACTGCAACCTCTGCCTCCTGAATTCAAGTGATTCTTCTGCCTCAGCCTCCCAAGTAGCTGGCACTATAGGTGCATGCCACCACACCTGGCTAATTTTTGTATTTTTAAGTAGAGACAGGGTTTCGCCATGTTGGCCAGGCTGGTCTCAAACTCCCAACCTCAGGTGATCTGTCTGCCTTGGCCTCCCAAAGTGCTGGGATTATAGGCTTGAGCCACCTCGCACAGCTGTGAGATTATTTTCATTACAACAAGTCATCTATATATATACATACATACATATATATATATATATATATACACACACGTATTTTTTTTTTTTTTGAGATAGGATCTCATTCTGTTCCTCAGGCTGGAGTGCAATGGCATCATCTTGGCTCACTATTACCTCCGCTTCCCAGGCTCAAGGATCGTCCGACCTCACCTTCCGGAGTAGCTGGGACTATAGGTATGCACCACTGTGTCTGGCTAATGTTTTTCTTTTTTCTTTCTTTTTTTTTTTTTTGAGACGGAGTTTTGCTCTTGTTACCCAGGCTGGAGTGCAATGGTGCGATCTTGGCTCACCGCAACCTCCACCTCCTGGGTTCAAGCAATTCTCCTGCCTCAGCCTCCGGAGTAGCTGGGACTACAGGAACGCGCCACCATGCCCAGCTAATTTTTTTTGTATTTTTAGTAGAGATGGGGTTTCACCATGTTGACCAGGATGGTCTTGATCTCATGACCTCATGATCCACCCGCCTCGGCCTCCCAAAGTGCTGGGATTACAGGCGTGAGCCACCGTGCCCGGCCTCGTTTTTCTATTTTTTTAGAGATGGGTTTTCACCATGTTGCCCAGGCTGGTCTTGATCTCCTGAGCTTAAATGATCCACCTTCCTTAGCCTCCAAGTGCTGAGGTCACAGGTGTGAGCCACTGCGCCTAGCCATAATGTGTAATTTTAAGAAGTTAGAAATAAATCAAGGAGTCTTTTTTTCTTCTTTTTTTTTTTTTCTGAGACAGGATCTCTGTCACCCAGGCTGGAATGCAGTGGTGCCATCGCAGCTCACTACAGCCTCCACCTCCAAGGCTCAAGAAATCCTCACATCTCAGCCTCCCAAAGTGCTGGGATTACAGGCATGAGCCACCACACCCAGTTCTTTTTCCCTCTTATAATCGAAAGGAGAGAAGGTGTAGGGTCAATATTTTATTGCTTTTGTAGAAAGCCAAGAGTAATGATGAACACCCCTAACTAGTATGTTAATATTAATTGTTAATAACACATATTGGTATGTGCTAATATACCAAAAGGATTTTCTAGTGAATAATGCTAACTCCATCTGGGTGTGGTGGCTCATATATATAATCTTAGCATTGTGGGAGGCTAAGGTGGGCAGATCACGTGAGGCCAAGATTTCAAGACCAGCCTGGCCAACATGGCAAAACCCCATCTCTACTGAAAATACAAAAATGATCCAGGCATGGTGGCAGGTCCTGCAATCCCAGCTACTTGGGAGGCTGAGGCAGGAGAATCCTTTGAACCTGGTCTCGGAGAGTGCAGTGAGCTGAGTTCACACCACTCCAGCCTGGGCGACAGAGGAAGACTCTGTCTCCATATCTTACAACTACTAATTGTAGAAAGTATATTCAGTTTCCCTGGACTACCAAATTCATCTAGACTACTTACACTTATGGGGTAGATTATAATCTATTCTACAGATATTGCATATACAAGATTTGTACTGTAAATATAAAAAAGTCTTAGGCAGTAAAATAAAAATAAAATAAAAATTATCAGATCTATATTACAAATCCTATACTTTTCAAAAAACATGGAAATTTCCGGCCAGGCATGGTGACTCACACCTGTAATGCCAGCACTTTTGGCAGCTGAGGCAGGTGAATCACGAGGTCAGGAGTTTGAGACCAGCCTGGTCAACATAGTAAAACCCCATCTCTACTAAAAATTCAAAAAATTAGCTGGGTGTGGTGTGGGTGCCTGTAATCTCAGCTACTTGGGAGGCTGAGGCAGGAGGATCACTTGAACCCAGGAGGTGGAGGTTGCAGTGAGCTGAGATCAAACCATTGCATTCCAGCCCAAGTAATAGTGCAAGACTATCTCAAAAAAAAAAAAAAAAAAAAAAAAATCTGTTAGCCACATCTATCTCACCCAGTTTAAACAATTGTGAATTCATGGCCAATTTTGTTTCATTCAAACTTCCCATCCCCACCAATCAACTCTCACAAATGATTTACCTAGGGACTTTTTCAACTTTAAAATAAAATTTTAAAACCTATTTGGCAAAGTGATTTTACTGAATGTACTAAAATGACTTTCTTCTATTAAATCTATTAACAGACAAACATGCCTTCACTATATCAAGAGTAAGAGGACCTTCATTTGAGTAAAATTTGTTTTAATAAAGCTATTTAAAATAAGACACTTACGTGTACTAGTAACCATTAATTAGAAAGTTTTATACAATTTATGTCCAAAGAAAAAAACTAAAATGACAGCAAATGTTAGAACTGTTAGAAAAGGTTTGAGTATATCTTTGTCATTATAATGAATATTTTTAAGTTACCTTTAAAAAATTCTCCGGGATAGTCTGGAGGTGGTGATACCATAGGCGAATCCAAGTTCACAATGGATTTCATGACAATTTCTAAAGCATTTCTTCCATACTGCAAAAAAAAAAAAAAAAAAATCCAAACCTTTAACCAGTTTCAGCATTCGGATACTCTTTAATCACATGACCCCACCTAAACACTATAAAAACTACTGGCAGGGTGTGGTGGCTCATGCCTGTTATCCCAGCACTTTTGGATCACCTGAGGTCAGGAGTTCAAGACCAACCCGACCTTGGCCGGGCGTGGTGGCTCATGCCTGTAATCCAAGCACTTTGGAGGCCAAGGCGGGCGAATCACCTGAGGTTGGGAGTTCCAGACCAGCCTGACCAACATGGTGAAACCCCGTCTTTATTAAAAAAGACCAATCTGACCAAGATTGCACCACTGCACTCTAGCCTGGGCAACAAGAGCAAAACTCCGTCTCAAAACAAAACAATTATTGTACCAAAGATTCAAAAAATCAATTCTCATCTGGGCACAGTAGCTCATGCCTGTAATCCCAGCACTTTGGGAGGCCGAGGTGGGCGGGTCACCTGAGGTCGAGAGTTTGAGACCAGCCTGATCAACATGGAGAAACCTGGTTTCTACTAAAAGTACAAAATCAGTTGGGTGAGGCGTCGCATGCCTGTAATCCCAGCTACTCGAGACTGAGGCAGGAGAATCGCTTGAACCCAGGAGGCAGAGGTTGCAGTGAGCAGAGATCGAGCCACTGCCCTCCAGCCTGGGCAACAAGAGCAAAACTCCGACTCAAAAAAAAAAAAATCAGTTCAATTATCTTTATACATGTTTATTATTTTTTCTTTTTTGGAGACAGAGTTTCGCTATTGTTGCCCAGGCTGGAGCGTAACGGCACAATCTCGGCTCACCGCAACCCCTGCTTCCTGGATTCAAGAGGTTCTCCAGTCTCAGCCTCCTGAGTAGCTGGGAGTACAGGTGCGTGCCACTACAAAGGGATAATTTTTTATGTTTTTAGTAGAGATAGGGTTTCACCACGTTGGCCAGGATAGTCTCAATCTCTTGACCTTGTAATCTGCCTGACTCAGTCTCCCAAAGTGCTGGGATTACAGGCATGATCCACCGAGCATGGCCACTCCCGACTAATTTTGGTATATTTTTTTTGAGACAGAGTCTCCCAGGTTGGAATGCAGTGGCCCGATCTCAGCTCATTTCAAGTTCTGCCTCCTGGGTCGAAGTGATTCTCCTGCCTCAGCCTCCCAAGTAGCTGGGAGTAAAGGCAGGTGCCACCATGCCTGGCTAATTTTGTATTTTTCGTACAGATGGGGTTTCATTATGTTGACCAGAGTGGTCTTGAACTCCTGACCCCAGGTGATCTGCCTGCCTCAGCCTCCCAAAGTGCTGGGATTACAGATATGAGCCACCACGCCTCCACTTAATTTTTGTATTTTTTTAGTAGAGACATGATTACACCATGTTGGCCAGGCTGGTCTCAAACTCCTGACCTGAGGTGATCCACCCACGTTGGCTTCCCAAAGTGCTGGGATTACAGGTGTGAGCCACATTGCCTGGCTGTTACGTATATTTTATTTATACTGCTAGTTCATGCCTCTGCATATAACAAACACGAGAAAAAATAACTTCCTTTACTTCTGAGAACTCAGTTAATTCATTTCCATTTATTCCTGTTTTTCAAAAGCAATGAAAAGACAACTATATTGCTGTACTGATCACTCACATGTGCTCTAACTTACTTGTGAAATTCTATGTCTTACAGGGAGCCATGATTTTAAAGCAAACCCACAGAAGAGGCAGTTTTGTTTTAGACAGTAACTACTTTTTTTTTGTTCCCTACAGACACCATACACTATCAGAAGTTTTCAGAGATACTGAAAGTTGAAATGTACCTTATTGTCAAAGTTGAACCTGCTCAGATCCCTAGATTCTGTTGCTCTTCTATCACCATGTGTAAGTGCTCCCTATCAAAACAAAAATTTCAATCAAGGCATAGGTAACCTTTTAGCAGAAAACAGGTACCAGAGATCATCTTTTACACAAAGCCACACAACTCCAAAACTCACCAAACTCTCAAGTCTTTTAGCAACAATAGATGCAAATCTTTGTTCTCCTGCCAGTTCAGAAATCAGGAAGACATATTCAGGAGCAGTAACTTGGTTTGATCTGTGAGTTCGTCCTGCAACAAAATTGTTTTTAAAGATCACTGATTGTGTTCACTGGACAGAGACAGAATATTCTGAGATGTATTCCTGGCATTTAACACTAAACTGGCAATGGGAAACCATTAAACAAGAAAACTTACAGAGAATGTAAAATTTACCAAAACACAACAGAATTATAAAATCAAAAACAGGGCCGGGTACGGTGACTCGCACCTGTAATATCAACACTTTGGGAGACCAAGGCAGGCAGATCACCAGGTCAGGAGTTCGAGACCAGCCTGGCCAACATGGTGAAACTCCATCTCTACTAAAAATACAAAAATTAGCCAGGCGTGGGAGCACATGCAGAGGTTGCAGTGAGCCAAGATTGTACCACTGCACTCTGCCCTGAGGGACAGAGCAAGCAAGACTTTGTCTTGGAAAAAAAAAAAAAGACGATGACGAAAACACTGGCTTGAAAGAGATCCATATACAGAGTAACACTAAACCTCATAAAAACTGCTCAATTGTCCGGGCACGGTGGCTCACGTCTATAATCCCAGCATTTTGGGAGGTCGAGGCGGGTGGATCACGAGGTCAAGAGATCGAGACCATCCTGGTCAACATGGTGAAACCCTGTCTCTACTAAATATACAAAACTTAGCTGGCCATGGTGGCGCAGCCTGTAGTCCCAGCTACTCAGGAGGCCGAGGTAGGAGAATTGCTTGAACCCAGGAGGCGGAGGTTGTGGTGAGCCGAGATTGCGCCATTGCACTCCAGCCTGGGTAATAAGAGCAAAACTCCATCTCAAAAAAATAAAAAAACTGCTCAATGATAGAAGTATTAGCATTGCTACCCCAATTTTGGTTAATCACGTAGCTGATACACAGCTTATGTGTATCATGATTTTCCCCAGATCATTTTTCAAATCACTGGTCACAAGAACATAAAGATGGAAGGGAGGAGCTATGTGCCTTTGGTAAAGCTACTGAAGTTTGAAAAGTATATGGAAATAGCAACTTCACTGACATAGACCTAATACATCCTAAAGTTTTATGAGGAGCCCTGTTCTTGGACCCCACAAATTCCCACCATCATGTATGTATTTTTTTACAACTTGCAAATAGACAAAAATTGAATTCATAATGCACCATATACTATAAGGTATATCTAACACTCCTTAAAGACAAAATCTGAGATTTCGAGTTATAAGATGTAAGACACTGGCCGGGTGCGGTGGCTCATGCCTGTAATCCCAGTTCTTTGGGAGGCCGAGGCAAACGGATCACCTGAGGTCAGCAGTTTGAGACCAGTCTGACCAACATGGAGAAACCCCGTCTCTACTAGAAATTAGCTGGATGTGGTGGCGCATGCCTGTAATCCCAGCTACTTGAGGGGCTGGGGTAGGAGAATTGCTTGAACCCAGGAGACAAAGGTTGCAGTGAGCTGAGAATGGGCCATTGCACTCCAGCCTAGGCAACAAGAGTGAAACTCTGCGTCAAAAAAAAATTGAAAAGACATTAAACATAGATTTTTGTTTCAGTTTTTTTTTTTTTTTTTGTGAGAAGATCATGCTCCACAACCCAGGATAGAGTGCAGTGATGCAATCATATCTCATGGCAACCTTCTCCTGGACTCAAGTAATCCTCCTACCTCAGCCTCCTGAGTAGCTGGGACTATAGGCACACACCACCACACCCAGCCAGCTTCTCCATTCAATCCATCCACCCATTTATTTATTAATTTTTATTGTTTTTAGATGGAGTCTCTCAGTGTTGCCCAGGTTGGAGTGCAGTGTACCGATCTTGGCTCACTGCAACCTCCACCTGCCAGGTTCAAGTGATTCTCCTGTCTCAGCCTCCTGAATAGCTGGGATTACAGGCATGTGTCATTGCACCCAGTTAATTTTTTGTAGTTTAAGTAGAGGCGTGGTTTCACCATGTTAGCCAGGCTGGTCTCAAACTATGACCCCAAGTGATCCAGCCTCAGCTCCCAAATGCTGGGATTATGGGTGTGAGCCACTGCGCTCGGCTGTTTTTTTTCTTTTTTTTTTTTTTTTGAGACGGAGTTTCGCTCTTGTTACCCAGGCTGGAGTGCAATGGTGCGATCTCGGCTCACCTCAACCTCCGCCTCCTGGGTTCAGGCAATTCTCCTGCCTCAGCCTCCTGAGTAGCTGGGATTACAGGCACGTGCCACCATGCCCAGCTAATTTTTTGTATTTTTAGTAGAGACGGGGTTTCACCATGTTGACCAGGATGGTCTCGATCTCTTGACCTCGTGATCCACCTGCCTCGGCCTCCCAAAGTGCTGGGATTACAGGCTTGAGCCACGGCACCCGGCCGGCTGTTTTTTTTCTTTTAGTGGAAATAGGGTCTCACCATGTTGCCCAGGCTGGTCTCAAACTGCTGGACTCAAGTTATCCTCCCACAGTGGCCTCCCAAGTGTTGGGATTACAGACCACTGTGCCCAGCCTAAACCTATGTTTTAATATGCATAAATTTACCCAATGATCCAATGATTCCTAGCTATTCATTAAGTAAACTCAAGTGTAGGAACTTACCGAATTGCTGAATTGCTCTATCAGCGCTCCAAGGTAATTCTAAAGTCATATGAACTCTTCGCCTTTGATTTTTAGCTCTCCTATCTGCTTGTAATGAAATACCCGAGCTGGCAGCTTCTGAGATGATAGCAATATTCTGTATCAAATATAAGAGAAATAAAATCACCTTTGCATAACAAGCAGGCCAGTGTCTTGAAAGAAGTTCTTTAGCAAACCACTTACTCCCTCCTTTCTCAATAAAGACTCCCAATTTTATTGCCCAGTGTTCCTTACAGATAAGTGTGAACATTCTCCAGCCAGTAGGGTGTAGGTAAACTCCTGACCTCGTGATCTACCCACCTAGGCCTCCCAAAGTGCTGGGATTATAGGCCTGAGCCACCATGCCCTGCCCAGTTTTTTTTTTGAGACGTAGTCTGGCTCTGTGTCACCCAGGCTGGAGTGCAGTGGTGTGATATCAACTCACTGCAACCTCTGCCTCCCGGGTTCAAGCAATTCTCCTGCCTCAGCCTCCCAAGTAGCTGGAACTAAAGGCACGTGCCACCACGCCCAACTAATTCTTTTTGTATTTTTAGTAGAGAAGGAGTATTCACTGTGTTAGCCAGAGTAATTTTTTGTATTTTAGTAGAGACAGCGTTTCACTGTGTTAGCCAGGACAGTATCAATCTCCTGACTTGATGATCTACCCGTCTTGAGCTCCCAAAGTGCTGGGATTACAGGTGTAAGCTACTGCACCTGGCCACATCTATCTTATTGAAGTCAATACTTAATAGACTTTGCATTTTCTGTTATTTAACAACCAAAACTAATTCCAACTAATGTAATGCCTAATGCGTATATGGGCCTAGATTTGTGAAGCAATTATATGAAATAACTAATACCTCTACTTACAATCTTGAAAATATGTAACATTATCTTTTGTATCTACATATATATATATATATGTTTTTTTTTTTTTTTTTTGAGACAGGGTCTCACTCTGTCACACAGGCTGGAGTACAGTGGTGCAATCACAGCTCTCTACAGCTTTCACCTCTCAAGCTCAAGCAATCCTCCTACCTTAGCCTCCTCAGTAGTTGGGACTGTTGGGCACTTGCCATTACATGACTTTTTTCCCCTGTAGAGGTGGGGTTCCACTGTGTTGCCCAGGCTGGTCTTGAACTTTTGTAATCCTAGCACTTTGGGAGGCTGAGGCAGGGAGATCACTTGAGGTCAGGAGTTCAAGACCCACCTGGCCAATATTAAGGAAATCTTGTCTCTACTAAAAGTACAAAAATTAGCCAGGTGTGGTGATATGTGCCTGTATTCCTAGCTTACTCAGGTGGCTAAGGGACAAGAATCTCTTGAAGCCAGGAGGTAGAGGTGGCAGTGAGCTGAGATCATGGCAGTGAGCCGAGATAACGCCACTGCATTCCAGCCTTAGGGACAAAGTGAGGCTCTGTCTCAAACAAACAAACAAAAAGTCTACAGCAAGAGTCTCTGGGCAAGAGCGATGGCTCATGCTTATGATCCCAGCACTTCGTGAAGCCAAGGTGGGTGCATCACTTGAGGTCAGGAGTTCAAGACCAGCTTGGCCAATATGGTGAAACCTCTCTCTATCAAAAAATACAAAGATCAGCTAGGCATGGTGGCATGCGCCTGTAGTCCCAGCTACTCAGGAGGCTGAGGCACAAAAATCACTTCAACCTGAGAGGTGGAGGTAACAGTGAGCTGAGATCATATCAGTGCACTCCAGCCTGGGCGACAGAGTAAGACTGTCTGGAGGCACCCAAAATCTCTGCAACGGTCGAATATGAGAGTCTACTCTACAAGCCATTTATAGTAAATCATCTTAATATAACATGATATAGCAATAAACAGTGAAACCAAAGTTACTAATATGGACAAGCATAAATATTTTAGACTCAAAATCAGAATGACACTAGAGTTAACAATAGATATCACAATACCAAGATGAACTAAGAGAACACAGTATTTTTATAACACGATTAAATATTTCAAAAGCCCCCAAAGCACTCAAGAGTCAGATCTAATTCTATGCATAATATACAACACTCATTATATTCAATGATACAGTAATAAAAACATGTAAAATATTCAATGAGTATGTGCAATTACTAAAAACATTTGCATAATAGGTCTGTCACCCAGGCCAGAGGGCAGCAGTGTGATCTCAGCTCACTGCAACCTGCACCTCCCAGGCTCAAGCTATCCTCCTACCTCAGCCTTCTGAGCATCTGGGACTACAGGCATGCAGTACCACATTCGGCTAATTTTTTGTATTATCAGCAGAGACTGGGTTTCACCATGTTGCCCAGGCTAGTCTCAAACTCCAGACCTCAAGCGATCCATCTGCCTCAGCCCAAAGTGC